TAAGACTAGGAAAACACGTTGAAAACTAGGAAAAACAGCAACAAAAATCAACTAAATATGTTGTTACTGTTGCTAAGGATTTTCTCCTTAGAATAATTTAGGATTTTCAAACATTGCTGTTTGCCAAATACTGTAGATAAATGGCCAGGTTCTTCCTATCCCTAGGATTCCTTTTTTTTTTTTTTTTTTCTTCACAGATTTTGAGAACAAGGGGGAGACATAGTATGGAAGATTAAGATTCCATTAATCTTACAGAACTGTGTTGTCACCCAAATTCCTGCTTGTTTGAACATGACATCTTCATAGATTCAGGATTCACTAACCTCTATAGCTGGTTCTTGAAAATTATCTGGCCAGATAGTTTTGCATCTGCTTGGATGATTGTAGACTGAGATGTGAATGGAGGATAAAGTATTAGGCCTTCGCTGAGTGACTGCCAACCAAGAAGTATTTATCGGACACTTACTAGGTATCTAGGATTGTATCAGAGGGAATATGAGATGTGTCCCTGCCCTACCTAGTTTTGACGACAGAATATCTATTAAAGGCTACTTAGCTGAAGGGTAAGGGTGACAGGTGTAGGGGAAGCTTTGGGAAGTGGTGTGGTGTGATGGAAAAAGTGGCAGAGTAGGGACGAGAGACTTGCATTCTAGCCCTGTTTCTGTCACTTGTTCTGTACACTTAGACAACAGCTTGCCCTCTTGAGCTTTAGTTTCCTCCTCTGCATAATGAGAGGGTTAGACTACTGAATTTTATAGGAAAAAAAATACAAATTCCTGGGTCCCAGGCCATGCCTGCTGAATCCGACTGTTCAGGAAGAGGCCTAGGAAATCTGTGAGGGAAGGCTCCCCAGGGGAATCTCGTGACCAGCCAGGTATGAAATCTGCTAACTGGAAGATCTCAAAGGTTCCTTCACTTTTTGTGCTTTTGTGATCATGTAACGTTACTGTATTATTCTACATAAATGTGGGTACTTGGATGTTTATCATACTGTTTCTCTGTGTTTACATACTAATTTATGTAAGAAATGCATTTTAGTCTGTGTACCTCAACCTGCTGTTTCCTAGAGTTGTTAGTAGTCTTTGAATACAAATAAGACTTAAGAGGATATTTGATGTTATTTACCTGGGTATTTTCTTTCCCTTTTATTTATTTAGAGGAAATTGAGATTCTAGGAGTCAAAAAAATGAAAACAAAATCCTTAGGCAAAGTTAAAGAAAAAAATTACATTATTTCTTACTATTTGCTACTTTATAATGAAAATTTTAAAATTATATGAGAAAATTTTTCTCTGGGATAACAAATCCTTGTCATAAAGTAAGAGGTCTTTTTAAAGTAGGTAGGCTATAAGGCCTGTAATTTAAAATAATACCCCTTTCTCTAGGGGTTGGTGCAATTCTCCATTAATGAAGATAATGTTTGAATTCCTCAAAGCAGGGGAGGAGTCGGGGAGGAGAAAGGGATGTTAAAACGAAAACTCACGTGCAAAAGAGGAGGTGGAGGAAGAAGGAATGTAAACCCCTTAAAGCAGATGTGTGTGGGGCCATATGAAGGCCAGGATTCTGCGGGTGTCAGGGGATTTCCCCTCTTGACAGAGACTGGGGTTTTAGACTGAGGCTTCCTACAGGGAGTTCGCATTGCACCTCTCCGTTCCCCTTTCAGACCTCTTTTTGGGGAGAAGAGATGGGAGGAGGGGA